GGTGGGCATATGTAGGTGATTTTCAAAAAGCAGTGATAACTGCACAGCTGTGATTTTGCCTCAGTGGCTTTGTGTTTCTGAAGTTTACCACTGGAAATGTTGTGGAAATGTACTACAGGTAGAAAATAATCACTGCCCAATCCATTGCCTGGATTTACAGGCCATGAAGACCAGAAATTCATGCATGAGACTTCCATGAAGTCTTTTGTGATAAAAATCTAAGAGACTGCTACACACAGAGACCATCAGAAGAGGCCTATGTAGCCCATGAACTCAAGGTTACCTGAATGACAGTCCTGGGTTACTGGACTCTCAGCACCTATTCACAAAGCATCCAACCCCATATTTGACAAATGAAAAGCTTGAAATTTGCTTGAAATTTGCTGCTGCTTAATTTGCAATGAGATAAAAAGGGTACCATTAAAGTAAGTTCTTTTCATTCACCAGAAGTTTCTATTTATCCACTTGGTAGGCATTCCTTCTGAAAATAACTTAGATGCTTTGTGAGACTCTGTCATGGGCCACCAGTGGAAGAGGCAAGAATGAAAGGTGTCACAGATTTCCTAAACAGTCACAATTTGTCCTTGTGTTGATCTCATTACTCAGGACAGCTTGCTCTGGGTGGTTTTAAGAGTTAAACAAACCTTACTGAACAAGATGCCCATGTACATACACATAACACACACACTGCATGCACACACATGCAACACAGACACAAACACACACACACATGCATACACACAACAGTATCAGGGGATGGTTGGCAAAAGCCAGTTTGAAAACTCCAGGCTTAGACAATGTAACCTGACTCCTGATGTCACCTTTGATGGAAACAGTCCATTGGCTTTACTTTAATTAAACAAAGGGAACCAAAGCTGTTATGACTCAGAAGCTATTCTGATATGACCTCTCCTCCAGCATGAGAAACCAGCAAAAGCACTCAATGTGTGTGCCAGCAGCTGGACAGGGTTCTCTGCACCTGTTCTTGAGCTGTTGCAGCTGGCACTATCCTGCCCACCTCCCACACATAGCCACTGGAAGGCCACCGGAAGGCTGGAACACGAACCAGGCCTTCTTCAAGGACGGCGGCCACTCTGTAAACAGTGCAGACATCCTCAGGGCTGGCTGTGCCAAGGCCACTCCCTGGATTCTGGGGGTAGCCTAGGAGTCTGGCATGGAACCAGGTCAGACACATGGACTCCATGGTCTCCTAACAAAAGCCATACTTACACCTCAAGAGTGTCAGGATTCCTTGCTGCACAGATAGGAACCAGCTCCCTTGGGTGACATGTGGGAAGGTAAAGGTAAGATGGACAGAAGCAAAATATTCTGCCATTGGAACTTCAACAAAAAGCTGTTACCACTGTTTATACAATAGTTAGGTAGCTGTCGGAGGAAACCACTCTGCAAAACAGCACCTACCAAGCAGAGAAACACATATGCCATATACCATTGTTCCAACCCCAGGCCTTGAGCTCCTTGTCCTCAATCTCCAATCAAGGGATCACAAGATCCAAGGCATCAAGAGTATCTTTCCTCATGTCCTTACCCTCAGTAAGCAGAGGACGTCCCCTGCAGCTCATCAGACTGGTTCTGTCCCATCAGATGGCAAGAGTACAAGATCAAAACACAAAACAAACAGCCAGGCCTGCAGAACTCAAAGGACTTCATTGTCCTCTCAAATCCAAGAAACAGCAAGTCAGGCTTTCCCTATTCATCACGTATTTCCTGAGCAGTGCGGAGAATTTTAATTCTTCATTTCATTCTAATCTCACAGAGATCCCAGAGGAAAGTGGTGGGAATCCCATTTTACAGAAGGGGAACATGGAGCCCACAAAACAAAAGGAATCAAATGAAGGTCATGGAGCTCTCTGGTATTCACAGCTTGGATGGTTCCAGACTTGACTTTAGTTCCATGCTCATTCATAAGAACTAGTACACTCTGTGCTTGCGTGTACATGTGAGCAAGTAGTGTACATGCACATGGAGATCTCCAGAACAGCTGGAGCACAGTCCTAAAGAGCAGGACCACCTCTCCCATCACTGAGGATCTTATTACAACACATGGTTACACTGTAACAGCTTGTCTGAAACAACTGTCTCTACAACAATCATTGCACTGTGCCTGTGAACAGGCAGGAACATTTGCCCTGTATCTTAGCTCAAGACACGTCCATCAACTTAGTCAACACCCTCCATAATTTCCCACATATTTTCTCTGCAGTTTCTGCTTTTTCCCCCTCCTTTCAGATAAGATACCTGTCACTAATTATGGCTTCCTTTTCACATTGGCTCCCAGGAAACTCTCAGCCTGTCTGCATGTTTCATCAGCTATGTTAACATTTACAAAGGGAGATTGCCCCCAGCCTCTAGTCTTAACCGCAATGACTGACCTTTTTTTAGCACATGCATTACTCTAACATCACGTCCCATTATTATAAACCACAGCAATAAACAGAAGAAGATTCAGCTTTGGAGAAGTAATAGGAAAACAGACATCACAGGTAAACAGCCGCTGCATCAATACATGATGGCTATAGGAAAGGTCTCTTCCCTCCTCGTGTCGGAAACACCACCAGGTGGTCATAAAGGCCCCACAGACAAATACGATCACTCACAGGCATAACGTCATCAAGGTGACAGATGCTCCTACAGTTGATCATGGGCTGTCACGGGCAATCATTAAGTCTGGCTGGCATGGGCCATCACCACCTTCTCTCTGCTGAGACCAGTGAATTATGCCAGAGAGTTTCAAAACAATCATGCCCCAACTCCGCGCTACCACAGGAATTCTGGCAGACCCAGCAGCTTGCAATGTTAAAACGTGCTGGGATGAAGCTATGCTGCAACTTCCTGGGAGGGCTCCCGGCCCCCAGGTTACATCTGCAGAGCAGAGGCGGGTGGCAAAGGAGCCAAGTAGAGGAAGTGCCACTGGTATGGGACAGAGTGGGGCAGCCGGGTCTAGGGCAGGATATAAGCAAATGCAGGGACATTCACACCCCAGGGAACAAAGGGTGGCCTCAGAGCTGACCACTGACAGCCACAGCTACATATGGAGCATCCAAAAATCAAGCAGACCATCTGTTCCCAAAGCCGGAAGGCTGCCTGAGTCATGAAGTCCAAGGACAGGAGTCACCATGATTCCCGACAGCATGTGAGATAAGAGGAGGAGGGAGAGAACCAGAGAGACCCTGTAGGAACCCCCCTATATATCAGCTCAAGCAGCACCAAGACCCAGGACGATGTGACAAGGCTCAAAGGGCACACCAAAACCTCCATCTGTCATGTTCATCCATGTGCAACGCAGCCTGCCCCAAAACACCAATCCTGAGCCCAAAACAGTGGTATTAAATAACCACTAATTTCCTCTCAAGTTCTACTAACAATATGTGCGGGGGTTTTGTTTTTTTTTTTCCTACCACAATTTATCCTTGATTTAACAAATGTGGCATATCAAAAAATTAGAAGCAGTAGTAATGAATGTGTCCCTTCTCTGGAAAGGTAGAAAGTGCACAGACACAAGCAGACAAAGAAGCCAAGGTCAGGCCTGCAAGGGCCTCTCAGCACCTGGGTGACCTTGGAGAGTTTCTTCACATTTTTGAGCCCCAGGGGGTAGCCTAACCACCCAGCAGGTGCTTGATGAATGGTTAACAAAGAGAAAATAAAAACTGCTCTCAGTTTGGTCTGGTCAGGACCAAATGGTCCAGGGGATTCCCAAGGCCTGCCCGAATGTGGGTGTTATCTGAAGGTCTGTCATTGTGCCAGTCCAAAGCACTGGGAACCCCTGTGCCAGAAGGTTCTTGGCCTTAGCAGGGACATGAGAGAAAAAAAAAAGGATTGGATGCTTTCTGCGCTGAGAAATATACAGGTCCAAACCCACCCCACAAGTTCCACTGGACAGAGGAGGATCAATTTATACCACTTTACCTAGCACAAGGAGGCCGAAGGGATGAGAGCTGGGCCATATCCACCCTTCTTCCATTTATCCCTCCACAGGCATGAGGAAGACAGCACTACCCTGCTTACGGGGAAAAGTTACACACTGGAAAAGATAAGGGTCTCTGAGCTCAGACTGCCATGCATAGAGGCAGCTGAGGAGGGGCAGTACACAGCCAAGGCCACACCTGACCAGCACACCCACATAAGGGCCCTGCACTAGCTCCAGCTCACAGCTGTGATTCTCACAGTTGAGCTGCACTGACCTTCCCAAGGGTTTGTTTAAGCACAGATCACTGGGCTCCAGTCCATGGTTCCTGATTCAGCAGGACTGGCTGGCCTGGGAATATGCATTTCTAACAGGTTCTAGGCAATGCTGAGGCTACTGGCCCGGGGCCACACTTAGAGAACTGCTAGTCAAAGCAGTTTAGAAAAGGTCACAGAGAGCTAGGAGCACAGACTGGACTCAAGCATGGTCCTCTCAGGGAAACACACACACACATACACACACATACAGCGTCACATGCACAAAATGACAATCTGAATACAACAATACTCCTATAAGATGATAACCGAGCTGGAAAATTCCTGTCACCTGCTGACACTGCAGCTGTTCTAATGCAGTGGTGCAACACACTGCCCACATGTTTGGGTGATGCTGGTGTAAAAAACCTACTGTGCTACCAGTTGTACAAAAGTAGAGCAATATACAATTTAATAGCACAAAATATTTGATAATGATAAGACATGATTATATTACTGGTTTATGTGGTTACTACACTGTATCTTTTATCCTATTTTAGAGTGTACTCCTACTTATAAAAAAAGATTAACTGTAAAATAGCCTCAGGAAGATCCTCCAGGAGGGATTCCAGAAGGCAGCATTGCTGTCATAGGAGATGACAGCTTCAGGAGTGTTCCTGCCTCAGAAGATCTTCCAACGGAAGAACTGTGATGATTCTGACCCTGAGCAGGCTCAGGCTAATGTGTGTGTTGTGTCTTAGTTTTTAACCAAAAAAGTTGGAAGCATTAAAAACAATGAACAATAGGCTCCACCATATAGCTTAGGTGTGTAGTAGGCTATACCACCCAGGTTTATTTAGGTACATTTTATGATGTTAGACAAAAATCACCTAATAATGAAAGCCCTTCTTAGAACCTGTCTCTATCATGATGATGGTACATACATTTATATACACATAAAAATCATATGCATAATGAGCACATATGTAACACTGAATACACATATAACAAGTACATACACAATACACTTATATTTGATACTTGACAATGACAGACATACACACATATACATAATAATGACAAGTATAACAACTTCATGCAAAATGCAAATTTATATATTCACATACATACAGAAATGACATGTACCATACACACACTCACATGCATACAACTACATGCATAATACACATGCCTATATATCATGTGTATAACAATTACTACATAATACACATTTATATACCTATTACAAACACATCACCAATAAAAATGTGGAAAAAACACATATAAAATACACATTTTGCATTCATATACATGTAACAATTACATTCACAGTACACATATATCTATGCAGGCATATAAGAAGTGCATATATGTAATACCCATTCATATATAAATGACAATTACACAAACATACACACCTATACCTATAACAACTACATGTCAAATGTACATCTATTTACACATTCATGTACATAATTAGATGCATGATACACACATCTGCACAATCATATACCTATATTACACAAAAACCTCATACATATCTATATACCCACAACAAATGCATTTTTTAAGAAATTTAAAATATTTTAATCACCTGTATACCACATACATTTACTCTTTTTCTAAACAAATGCATATTTAATACACACATTCACATACATGTAACAAGTACCTATATAATTCCCATTTATATATATGTACATATGTGTATAACACAAGTACATGAATAACACACATCTTCATATTCAAACACATATAACAATGTATACCTAATACACACACAATCACACACAGAGCTGCAAGAGGAGTAGGCTGGGCTGGAAAAAGAGCCAGCTGTCTTAGTGACCACACTCATTGAAAACAAATCACATGCTATTGTGGTGCGAAGCTGTGTCCAGAAGATTGAGAGGATCCTCTCCAAACACTAGGGACTCCGAGGAACCCAGTGACAATCCCCCAGCAGCCAAGTTGGACACCCTTGCAGAGACCCTTTGGACCTGGTGCACAGATGTGGCATTCCAGCAGGACAGGTGTCTATGACTTACCAATAAATCTGATGATAAGAAAGTCTCTGTGCACAGGGCACAACCACATAGGACGCTGGGGAAAATGGGCTTCAGCAAGGTCTCAGAGGGGCACACAGCCCCTTATCCCCCTCCATCACAGAGACAAATTGCAGCCTATCAAAGCCAAGAGTACACAAAGACACACCCCAGGACCCTGGCTATGAACGCCACAAAATAGTGAAGGGGAGGAAGTGGCTGGTCAGCTCGGGGCAGCACTGAGGCCAGCAGGGCAAACTGGACAGAAGTCTGTGCCATCCCTGAGGGCCTCAGCTCTTGATGTTCCACCGAGGTGTCTGGCATAGTTTGTAGGTATTTAGATTTCCTGGAGACCTGTGTTGTTTTTATCTTCCTTTGACCTTTAACGTACATTTTGCTCCCCCACAAGCAAAATGAGACCCACAGCATGTGATAGTATTAAAGGGAGCACAATAACAACACGTGGCATGCCTGACCACCAGGAATCCCTTTTCCCTGCCCTTTGCCATCAGCTAGATTAGGGAGCACCCTAACCCCTCTAGGTAAAGAAGAAGACAGGTTTAGTGGTGGTGCCAGGCTCTGAACTCAGAGGCTCTGATTCACCAGGCTGTGGCACCACCCTTCAGCCAAACCCTCAGAGAACAGTTTCCAACCAGCCTCCTGTCTGGAGGCCTCTGAACTCAGCACACAGAGACAGTAAGGCAGAAGGGCAGGCAAAAAACCCAGAGGAACCCAATGGATGCTGAATGTGGCAAAATCGGGGCTAAGGACAAGATGCCCATCCAGTTTGGGAGATAAATGTAGCACACCTTACAGGTACCTGGAGGAGGTGGCAAGTGCAGGTATCTCCTTCCCTCATGATGAGGCAGGGCAGGGCAGGGCAGTACACTCTCCCCAGAAGCAAAAGGCTGCTTACATTGGCCTCCCCAGAATCATTTCCGATTTGTAATAAGAGGTAGTCTGTGTTCTACCTTCCTGAGCCCCACAGGTGTCCAAGAAGCTAATAAGTCACTGGAAACAAGTTTTAACCCCTTCATCTCCAATGGGTGGAGGCAAAGAAAACACCCAAGGAAATATGAAATTCTAAGGAGTTTCATTTAAAGAACAAATGGAAATTCATGTTTACCAAACAACAAGCCGAAGAGAAAGTGTTATTCTGTGTTTACCTGATAAAAATCATGGCAGGTGTCAGACCTGAATGTTCACAAATGCTTGCATCACGGTTTCCACATAGACACCCTGTGAGACAGCTACTGTCACTGTCCCCATTTTTATCACCAAGAGAGCCAAGGAAACTCAGACTCAGGGAAATCAAGCCCTGAAGATACCTATTATTGATCTTAAGAGAAGTTCCCACAAAAAAGCACATGGATTCTCTCCTCTTAAGGAAAACAAAGGGGAAGAATAAGAAGGTCAAATGTCCCTAGAGAGAACTGGGCAGAAAAACTCCCCCAAGGGGCACAGTTTCAAGAGACAGTCTACCTGAGGACAAAATGTCCTCAACACAATGCAAAAGACTTACCTGTTCCAGGTGAACTTGCACACAGCAGGGAATCACCACCTTAAAGGGAGAAGAAACAAATAAGCAAATGGATTTTCAGAAAATACTTGGCCTGGGGCTAGGGATGTGGCTCAAGT